TCAATGTAGCTGAAAAAATCCTAATAAAAACAAAAACATAAAAAGGATTTCTCTACTTTGGCACTACTGACATTTGAGGAAAGACAATTATTTGTTCTGGGGGCTATGCTGTGTACTACAGCACACAGCATCTTTGACCTCTTCCCACTAGATGCCAAAAGTACAGCCTGCCCATCACCACCATTGTGACAACCAAAAATTGTCTTCAGGCATTGTAAAATGACCTCCCCCAGCTGAGAATTACTGCCTTCCAGGTTAATTCATCAGTACTGACATCCTAAAATGGCTCCAGTAATGGAATTTTGGAACTCAGCATGGGAAGTTTGTATGCAAAGAAGCAGATAGTAAATATTTTAGGCTTTGTGAGCCACCCGCAGACCCTGCTGCATAGCCTTCTTTGTTTTATATTTTTAAAATCTTTTAAAAATGTAAAAGCATTTAAGTTCAAAACTAGGCTTGAATTTGCTGAACTTAGTTGTTTTTTGTTTTTGTTTTTGGTACTGAGAATTGAACCCAGGGGCTCTTTACCACTGAACATCATCCTCAGCCCTTTTTATTTTATTTTGAGGCAGGGTCTTGCTAGGTTGCTTAGGTGCTGAACTTAGATTGTAAAGGAAGAAATGATGAATTGCCATAATAATTGAAAGTGTTCAGATAATTTTTGTAAATATTAGGATCTTAATGTAGCTACCAGGTCTTCATGACCCTTAGCTAGCAGTTATGCTGTCCTACTTGGAAAGCCTGATTTAAATAACTCCAAGTTAAATTCTATTAATACTGTTTACCATTTAATTCTATTTAATGTATTTAAATGTAAAGGACAAATAAAACAGACTTGATATTTGAACAGACGTGGAAGAACATCTGCTTAGTAAGGATGTGTCCTTCCCTTGGTTTGGGAGTAAACATCCTCTGAAGAAGGCATTGAACAAAGGAAATGTTCCTACCCAATTTTAAAACCAAATTATGTTTTGATATGCCTATAGATATTATCAAGGAATGGAAAATGGTGTCTTGGTAAAAAAAAAAAAAAGCCTAAAAGTTGCCAGTAAAACTGTAAAAATAAAAATGTCGTTTTGAAAATATATTTTAAAGTAGTTTCTAGATAATTTTATTTAATCATCACATAAATGTTTTAGCAAACTAGGGAAGGTCCATTCAACAAGTATTCATTGACTATCTGCCAGGGACTTTTTGATGCACTGGACTTGAATCCATCTGAACCCTGCTAAAGGAAAACATACCTATAGGAAACAGCTATGTTCAAACATCCGGTGATTTTTTTCCAGTAAATATTCTTTCTATGTTGTATATAGCTAATTACAAATATCTAATGCTTTACTTTGAGCATCTGAAATTTCTATATGTAGAATTTATTGACATCAGACAAAATCATGAAAATATTCTTTTCATCCAATGATCACTGAAAGAACAGTAGTGTGGGATGGGATACAAGACTTGGGTCAAATATATTTAACTTGGGTAACAAAAATGTACATTTTAATTCATTCAAGTAGTTTATCATATGAAAGGCAGAGAATTATAGTGAAAAAAAGCACTAGGCTTGGAGTCCAAAACCCTGTATCACTGTCCTGGTTCTGTCCTTTTTTTTTTTTCCCATGGATAAGTCAGTTCACTTCTAAGGAATGCTTTTCTCATCTATAAAATGAGATAATGACACTTTCCCAAGTATATTACATCTAAACATACTATATGTTTATAACCTAAAAAGTAGTATAAAGGTGATAATATAAGCATAAGGAGTTAGCTACACCAATACTTTACATATATGATTCTGGGATAAATCAAATATTGTCTTGGTTATAACCCAGATCAATTATAAATGTGATCTTGTATTTCATGTTAACTGATTATGAAAAAATATCCATAAAGCTTGTGAGGCCCTACTCTGAAATTTGCTATGACATGAACCCTGTGCATTTTCTGTTAAAAATATAATGACCCAAACTTAATTTTCTAGTGAAATGAAGACTTTGAAGATCAACACTTATTGAAAGAGGTTTAGAAATTAATAGTTGAACCCTTACCGGCACCCTTAGGTTCCATCCATTTTGCCCAAAATTACATCTTTGCTCCGAAATCTTCAGAGGAAACCATTGCTAGGGAGAGTGACTTCCCTCATAGTATGAGGTCAAATTCTAGATTATAGAATCAGAGTATAATTGTGTTACTTGAACAAATGTGAGAATACACCTTTGAACCAGATCACTAGGATTTTCAAATAGATTTTTTTCTGTGATATTCTCAATTACATTTATAAAAAGTCAACTTGTTTTTTTTTCATTTTCTGTCATTACCCCCCCCCAGTCTATTTTAGGTCATCAAGTAGCTAAGAAGGGTAGGTTCGATGAATAGGTTCAACCCCAAAACATTGTGAGAGGAACATTATCTGTGAAGTACCCTACACAGCCCTATAAGTTTCTTCCTCTGATTTGGTAGTCCTGAGAAAGCTCTCAAGCCCTGCTTATGTTCTGACCATTTCATTTTATTTCAAATGTGATGCCACAAAACAGTCAGAGATAGCTGGGTTTTGTGTAGTGTTAATTGTTGGTGCTGTCCTTGATGCCAGCAACAAAGTTTCAGAATAACACTAGTAATGCAGTAGCAATGACTCTTTCACTCCTAACACTTTTTGTAAAGGACAAGTCATCGTGTTTCCAAATGGAAAATAAAAGAGAAAAAAAATAAGTGCTTACTCCCACACTTTACATTACCATGACTACTGAAGGTCCATTTTCCTATCCCCCTGTTCTATACCTACCAAAAATAGGGGTTGGATGTAGAAAGAAAAATGCATATTTTGAAGGCAGTTCCCTAGGTTCATAAGTATGGGTTTTTATAAACTGTATGAACTCATTTGACCACAGAGCCATTGGCTAGAATTGAGTACTGACTGCTATTTGCCTTGATTTTGATTTTATCAAGACATCTAGAACATGAAAAATGCACCTCATTTCTTAAAACAGTCCACTGACTCGACCACTGTCCTTTAAAGTTGCCTTTTATACAAGGAGGAAAAGCCAGCTTCACTCTATCTAGTCTCAACCTTCCCTTATAATAAGCTTTTCTTTCCTGAACTGATCAAAATTATAGGGAGAAAGAATCCAGTTGAAAAAAAGATTTGATATGCCTGTTGATGTCTCATTAACCTTGAGAATGAATGTGACTGGTGACTGCCTGTCACAGTGGCGTGATGGTTTGTTAGGGGGGGAAAAGCCAATGGAAGCATCTCAGGGAAAAAAATACAAAGAGAAACATCACTTAGTTGATCATTGATCAGAAAATGGGTCATTTCCAACTGTCAGAACTGGCTAAATTACAGTTTCCTTTAGCCTGTGATGAATCTACTACATATTTCTTGGGAGAGCATTTGGAGCAGTATTTATCTGTGTGTCAAAATATGTTCACTGAAGTACTGATAAAAAACCTACTCTGATGTTGAAAGTATAATCATGAGAAAAGCAAACATCTCAGGATTAATGTTAATAAGGTTCTGCTTTAAGTGAATGTGTGTGATGATTTTTGTGCCATTAAAAATATCATGAACCACTCAATGTGGAAGGTGCTAATTCTATGGAGTCCCCAGCCAGATTCTTCTCTCTACTAATTGCTGATTGATAATGTGTTAACAGGGGAAGGAAATAATAGAGGAAAATTAGCTTTTCTCTTAGGGATAAGCAGTTACCTGGAGAGGAAAAGAGGTAGATAGTGTTCCCTAGGTTCACTAGCAGTCTCTCCTTGGGATAAGTGGACTAAAAATCTGACTGGCTTCTAGTCTCAGATCTGGACCAGAGACCCACACAAAAGCAGCATCTTCCATCTTTGGCACAAGAATCACATCTGGGACTGGTTCCTGTCTGCCCTCCCCAGAGGAGAACTTGAAGTAAACAAACCTCACAATCCCCAGGGATTCAGATGGAACATTCTCACCTGTTTTGGCTTTTGTTCCTCAAGGTTTCTACTTTTCCATGTATAGTGCTGACTCCTCTGCTTTTCTTAGGAACTTCTTGAAAGTTACCACAATTAACCTTACTTTTCACATCAGATTCCCACCTCGGGTTGGGCTGATGGCACAAAGGATTTCTGTGTCACCCTCTAACCAGCTGCTCCTTTCCTGTGCTCTTCTCAGAGCCACACAACCTGGCTGCTGCCCTCAGCCTTCTGCCTGTGCCCCTTACCCCGACCCGACGCTCAAATGCACACAAATACAAGTAGATCGATTGTTTTCCTCTTTTCCCAAGGAAGTTTTTGCATTTCAGAGGAGTGGAGCTACAGTGAAAAACGAAATAACTGCAAATTACAAACATCATTTCCTACCCCCTAATACAGATATGGCTACCTTGCTCAGGGAGGAGAGGGCATCAGGGCAGCTCCCGTCCTCGCCTGAGACCGCACTTTTTTTTCTGGGTGGGAGGCATTTTCTCACCAGCCCGCTTCAAATTTCTCTGCCCCTCCCAATCCCCCTCCAGCAGCCTTTCCCAAAACACTTCGGGATAACAGGAAAGGAGAAAAAAAAAAAACTGAGGATAGGGGTGAGGTGTCTCTAAATCCCATCCCACCCCCAACCCCCCGACGCCGCCAAACAGACTAATTTGTTGTCAAGTAGCAAGACTTTTTTGAATGTCTTCTCATTCGTTCAGCTGCTCCTTGGCCCAGTTACTCCAAAGCCTCCCTGCCCCCAAGCCCGCTGTGACCAAAACAAGCGCACCGACCACAGCACCGTGGCCGCCGCCGCCGCCGCCCCAACTGTTGCAGCAGCTGTGGGGTGGCCGCATAGGGCCGGGCCCGGACCCCGATGTTCCCTATCGGGTAGGCTGGGAGGCTCCAAGCGGCCGCCTTGGGGCAGGCAGTGCAGGGGAGCCCCTGCACCAACCGCCTGGGATAGGAGAGGCGGCGCTCTCAGCTGGGACCCCGCGCAGTGCCAGCCTTGCCGCGACAGCGGCGCCGGAGGAGGCTGCCTGCACCCGTCCCCCTCTCACCTTTAAGATCAGGTCGGTGTGATGCTGGTCCAGCATGTTGGCTTTCTGGAAGGAGGTGACGATGACCCTGCCGTAGCGCCCAGGGGTCTGCAGGTCCGAGTAGAGCCGGTGCTTGGAGCGGTTGACCGGGAAGAGGCTGTTGACGAGGTTGCGCTCGATCTTGGCTAGGCTGTGCTGGGGCGCCAGCAGGTGCTCCACGCTTTCTTCGACCTGGTAGCGGCTGAAGCTGGCGCCGAGCAGGATGGAGATGAGCACCGGCGCCGAGGCGAAGAAGACCGGGTGACTGGCAATGAAGTGGCCGAGCCGGGAGAAACACGTCCTCAAGCCCCTGTGCAGAACCTGCCGCAGCATCCTAGAGCAGAGCGGGCGCGGGAGGAGGGCGAGGCGCACGCTCGGCGCGGGCTCGGGCGGCGGCGGCGGCGGCGGCGGCGGTGGTGGTGGCGCCCTCGGCGGCGGCGACGGCGGCGGCGGCGGAGGCAAGACCCTGAGCTCTCCTGGAGCCGCGGCACCACCATCGGGGAGTCCCGCGCCGCGCCTCTGGAGGGTCCCCTCGGGCTGGAGACACGCCCTCCTGCCCGCGGCCGCGCCCGCCCGGAGAGCCCCCCAGCCTGGCGGCCTCCGAGCCGCCCCCACCCCGCCCTACCCCGTGCGCCCTCCCCAACCCCCGCCGCCTTCCCCCCGGGGGGCTCCGGGAGGCGCTACCGCGTTTCTTTTCAGCGCGGGCGGGGCCCTGGGTAGCCCCAGCGGCGCGTCATGACCCCACTCACCCGACCCCCGAAGCCAACGACGGGGTGGCGCGGGGAGCGGCGGCAGCGCTATCGCCAGGAGACTCTGAGCGCTAGCCTAGGAACACGAGGACAGAGAATTCCAGGCTACACCCAGTCCCCTCCCCTCCTCAAGATCCCCTCCCCCGGCCCGGCCCGCCACGCTTGCCCTCCCTTCCCTCGTCCTCCTCCTGGGAGACCCAGAGATAAATAAAGAAATGGCCCGTATTTTCCAAACAAAAAGTAAAAGAGTTCTCCCTTTGCGGGGGACGGGGTGGCGGTGCGTCGGGCAGACCGGCTTAGAGCCAAGTCTCCCTAGAGGCAGAAGGGAGCAAGCTGAAGACTGCGTGCGCCCTGGCTCTCCCAGGCTCAGGTGGTGGCGCGCACTGGCTGGTGCCGAGGGGGGGGGGTGGGGAGCGAAGACGCTCAAGCGTGGAAATCACGCCTCCTCCCAAGTAAGAGCCGTGAGAGAAACCTCAACACTGCAGCTTCGGCGGGACCACAGGGTCCGGGTGTGCATCTGAAGCATAATCACCCCACATGTGTCCGTGAAGAATCTTTCTCCAGCGCCCTAATTTAGGGTCTCTCCAGAGTGGGCAGTTCTGCTTGCAAAAGCCCCCCACACACACACCTTCCCACCCAGTCCCCCGATAATAAAAGTGCTGAATGACAGTCGATTGAACCGTCTGTCGCCAGGGCTCCTGGGCTCTGGGCTCTCTGCTCTGCCTTCTCCCTCCTCCTCTCTCTGTCGTCACTGGCAGGTCTGGGGGACCTGGTGCGGCGGGGCTGGCGCGGGTGCCCCTGCGGGTATAGAGTGTTTGAGAAATGCTGGTCTGGTCAGGGAGTATGTAGCGATGAGCCCCTTTTCAGCCTCACCCCGCCCTCTACTCCTCCACACCGGAGGGTGTGCATGTGTGTAGGGGGAAGCCTCATGTCAGACCTGGAGAGATACAGGTCTCCTAAAGTGTCGAGCCGCAGGGGGCGCGGGGGAGCCCGGGGGGCGCGGACGGCTTGGCAAAGTTGGGCGTGTGCGTGTGCGCGCCAGCAGTGAGCTAGGAGGCAGCCACTGTGGTTCCCCTCGCACTCCCCCTCGGGAGAATTCCCCAAGAAGGCGGGCGCCGGCTTCGGCCCGAGATAGACCTGCGGCGGCGGCGGGAACGGCCACGCACAGGTACAATTTAGCGCGTTTCTTTGCGCGCTCCAAGCCCCTGGGTCGGTTCGCTGCAAAGCAAACAGAGCCAGATCCCGGAGACTGGGTCACTGAGGCGCCCTATCCGACTGGGGGTGGGGTGGGGACCAGGGCTCAAGGAGGTGTCCTCAGGCTCCGCGCTCCAAGCGCTCAGCCTTCTCATCCCACGCCTCTGGTTGCTTCTGCTTGGCCTCCCAAAGCCAAGGGTCCAGTGGGAGGTGGCGGCGGCAGGAGGCGCGGCCCCTGGAGTGTGGCCCGCACTACAGAGCATGGACATGCATATTAATTAAAGCTGTAGGAAGTCGGAATAGGGAAGGAAGGAGGAAAAGGAAGGGAGGAGAGTGAGGAAAGGAGGGAGGCTGGGAAGGAGGGAGAGAGAGAGAGAGAGAGAGAGAGAGAGAGAGAGAGAGAGAGAGAGAGAAGAGAGAAGAGAGAGACTGACTCTGACTGAGACTGACAGACACCGTGGGAGAACGCGACTCAGAGAGGCAAGTCTGTAAGGCTTGTATCCCAGACTCCCCAACGCCAAGCGGCCCTGCACTTCTCAAACTGAACTTGGGAACTTGCACATTGGAAACAGGAAGTCGCAGGCTGGGAAATCCTCCTTTTTTGATCCTCTTATCCCTTCCTCCACACCAAACCCAGTTCCCTACATTTCCTCAGCAGCACCTGCAACTGCTGCACTGCCCACTCTGGGGGCACTCTCGCCCTACCCGGCCTGCGCTACCTTGGTCCTTCTACCAGAATCTCATTCACTTTCTCTGCTTTTCCTCGCTCTTCCGCACTGGGCTCTCTGATTTTGAAGGGTCCCCAGGAGGCCAAAGTCCAGCAGATTCCAGCCAACACCCCCCTGCGCCGCACCGTTATTCCCATCCTCAGAAGTGACACATTGAAAGGGGCTAGAAATTCCCTTGCCACACTCCATTGGTACCCTTCCCCCAGCATCTTAATTTCTGCTTGCTGAGACGCCGCTGCTCTGCAGCGCTTTGCTGATTCACGATGATCGCGGAGGGAAAAGCCTCATTGACTTGTGCCCCTGCAAGCGGTGAGGCGAGCGCGAGTGACTGTTAGGACACGCGCTTTGAGAAACTACCCAGCGTTGAGTAGCCGAGGTGCTAAATGGCAGGGTGAATGCTCTGCGTGGCTCCCAGCCTGGGCAGACGAAAAGATGTAAGGGCTGGGAGTGGGGGTAGCAGTGAGAAATAATGTGAGCCCAGCTCTTTGCGACTGAGCCAGCGGCAGCTAGTGGGTGGGCACCTATCAAGAGGCCTAAAATCGTTCTCTGCGCATAGAATGAGCAGGCTGTTTCATGTGCACTGATCCCAGCACAGGGACAAAAGTAAGAGAAAGAAAAGCAACTCACAGGTCTAGTTGGGATGCTTAAACATTTTGGCGAAGCTTTTTTTATTCTGAAGTCTTTGTCCTTCCAAACGATTCCCTTCCAGCCTTGGGTCAACCTCATCCCTAGAATTTCCGGCCTTTTAATGCCAGCCCTTAGCAGGCTGAAGAGCAGGAGTGCCTTCTCTCAGTGCCTGGGCTGCATTTTAGTGCAGGAGACACTCAGCATTGCTCAGCTGGCAGGGGTGGGAGTGTTGTCCTCCCACACATAAAGGGCCTTTCCTTTGAGACCAAGACTTTGTCTTCTAGTCCTTCCAACTCCATTCCTAACTGTCCTTATGTATATTTGGGGGGGAACTTCCACCCTGCTTGTTTTGATTCAGGGGGAATCTCTTGAGGATAGATCTTCTGCCACCTTTTTTTATCTTTTATTGCCGGCAATGCCCTTTGTGTTGTCTAAATTGTATAGAGGAGAGGGGGGAGAGAGGAAAAGAATGAGAATGAGACAGGGAGGAAGAAATTGTCTACTCACTATTTTTCTTCTCCTTTGATTCATACTTTCAGGGGAGGGAGTATTGCCACCACCAAAGACTTGGGTTTGAATCTGGGACACTGACATTGGGAAAAGAGTTTTCATCAGTCCATTAATAAATTATTACTTTTTATGATTAAAAATTAATTAATATTAATGTAAGATAATTTAGAAAATAACAAGAAGGAAACAAAAAGAGCTGTATCCTGGTGTACCCACCACCTTTCAAGGGTAACCTCTGATGATAATTACTTGTGCATATAAGCAATATAATATAGTTATTGTTCCTATAGCCATTGAGTTGATTCCTTGCTCTACTACTTACTATCTGTGAGGCATCAGGTGAGTAGATTCACCTCTTTATGACACTGTTTTCCTTTCTGGAAAATGGGAATAACAATAGCAGCTACCCCACAGAGTTTTTGTGATGATTTAAATAGAATAGAAGATGTAAAGCACTTAGAATAGAGCACCTAGAATATCACAACATATAATAAATGATATTAATTATAATTATAGTCTTATTTTTATATGTGTGTGTGAAACGAAAATCAGTCCCTGACATCCAGGACATGACCTTGTATTATCAGCTGGGCCTTGGGCTAGCACTCACAAACTAAGCTTTGGCATTCTCTTGTTGAACATAAACCATTTCCCAAAACATTAATGTCAGATAAGGGCATTTTGTAACTATGATGGATTAAGGCAAAATGAGGACCACTTCATAATCATATCTGAACACAGGCAAAACATGAATCTTGTCCAAATAACCTAGCAGGTACTTAGCCTGGCTAATGTCCATGACTATTTTGGTCTTTTTAAAAAATTATAGCTTTAGTCTTGTTATGGTCTTCTCTCCTTCTAGATAAAGATTTACTAACACACCCAAATCATAAAATCATCTCTCCTTGCTGATGGCTTCCAATCCAAGCAAGTCCCACCAACTTAAACCTTTCCCCAAATCACTTAATACAAACCTATATTCTTTCCAACCCTTTCTTATTGAAGTGCCCCTTAGTTCTCTATGATGTGTTCTCCCTTAATGCAATGAAAAATAAACCCAGCATGACCAACTGTTGATGTGGTTCTGACAGTCTTTTATATTAACCATATATATATATATATGGTTAATATTATATATATATATATATATATATATATATATATAATGTTTATATACTTCTTTTTCTAAAAGAAGCTCATGCCAAATATTCTGTTTGGTAACCATTTTTTTCCATTAAGGTCATGAATATTTTCGTATGTCAGTTAATATTGCTATAAAACATTTTAATGGCTATATGGAATTCCATCATATGGCTGAACCTTAATTAACTTAACCTATATTGTGGAACATTTGGTTTATTTTAAATGTTACTACTATAAATAATGATAAGCCAAACATCCTGTACATACATTTTTGACTGCATCTCTTATCATTTTTGGGGTCAAATATTCACATTTTGAATAGCATACTCCTAACAGATGCCTTTCTAATTATTGTTAAATTGGAAGAGACAAAGACATTCCTTC